AGGCTTAACAAAACAAAGTTACTGGGTTAATCTTTTTCACGTTTCCTTGGTTGGTAGATGCACTGGGGACCTGATTATAGCACTTAAAACCTGGAAAAGTCCGATTTTCATGATATGTCACCTTTAAGAAATAATCCATGTGCTTCTTATTTTTTCTTTCTCTAATCAAAATGTTTCAAACAAAAACTGCTTTGGGGAAAAATAGTTTTAGTCAAGTCAAATTTATTTATATAACGCATATATAATTTACACATATAACGCATCAGAAAAAAATCTTGATGTTAATATGATGATCTTAATATCTTCATGCCTTATAGTTGCACTTATCAGAATAGAGATGGGTGATAATATAGTTTAATATAATAGTTTATATATGGTTAATATATAGTTTAATAAAACTATAATATAGTTTGCATTTTGCGACGACAATAGCAGTTGAGATTTGCTATATAGTATATATTGTCCTATGTAAGTATACTGTATTTGTGCAGATAAAGTTGGACACACTTATATATCCAACTTTATATAAAGAGCTGGGCAATTACATCAAAATAAGCATTTGAGATTTGCTATTTCTATATATCGCTTTACATGAGTGTACTCTATGTATGAGAATAAAGTTGTATAGCCCCATATGTATATATATATATATATATATATATATATATATATATATATATTAGAGAGAGAGAGAGCTGTGTGATCATTTTTTTTGACAAGCTGTTTATTTTTGCTACGATATAGAATCACACACCCAAGATTTGCTGTATAGTATAGTATAAGGCCATTTCCTTAAAGGGATAGTTTAAAAAATAAATAAATACCGGTAAATAAAATTGTCATTTGCTCACGCATGTGTCATTGACTTACTGTATAACTGACTTTCTTTGGCAAAACACACACACACACAAATTTTATATGGTGTTGTTGTTTTTTTATGCAATGGAAGCCAGTTCAACATCTTTTGTGCTACGCTGAAGAAAGAAATGCATACAGGTTTGCAATGACATAAAAGAGTAAGTGATTAGAATTTTCATATTTGTCATAACTATCGCTTTAATAACATCATCTTCCAGGAAGTGACATCATTTTGGAGGGAAAACCAACCGTACAAATATCAGCAAGTCTCCAACATTCCTTCCTGTTTGATAAAATTCCACAAATTAGTATGATAGCAACATTTTGAAAGATGGTTCAAAATATCAAAATGATATGAAAACTTAATGTTGACCCATTAGTTCTTTTTTCAGGGTGGGCTACTCTGCAAAACTCTCATGAATGACTTAATAGATGTGTGTTATTTCAGCTGACGAAGCTATTGTGATCATATTGAAGGTTTTGAACTTTTGCGTGTCCTCTCAGGAGTGATGTACCGAAAAAGAAGTCTCTTAAAATCACTGTTCTGTTCCTCAGACCTCTGAAGAGCCGTAATTGCATGTGACGTAAATCAAGTCTACTTGCCTGAGGCTCGTGTATATCAGCTCAATGCAGCAGGTGAGAGTTCTTTACACAGAAATGAGGTTGTCTGAGTTACATCAGATAAGAGAGCGATAGAGGTAATACTTTCATCAGGAGAAACGATGCGGAAGAACAAGAGTCGGGACAGAATAAAGGCATCGTGCTTTATGATCACTATAGGATGGGCTGACAGAGACAAAGTCAACAGATATTCGCAGACAGTCTCTTAAATTCTGTAGTAATAATAAACTTTAGTCGAGACAAAGGGGCTTTAATAGGGGAAATGTGGTTCAGTGTCATTTTTTGGATAAAATATTCACTACCTTTCAAAAAGTTATATATTTTTTTTTATTCAGCAAGGATGCATTAAATTGTTCAAAAGTAAACAGTAAAGACATTTATAATGTTACAAAAGAGTTAAAATCAGTGCTGTTCTTTTGAAATTTATATTCATCGTTTCCTGGGAAAACAAATGTTGCACGGTTGCAACAAAAATATGAAGAAGCGGCACAACTATTTTCAGCATTGATAATAATAAATGTCTCTTGAGCAGCAAATCAGCATATTAGAATTTTTTTTTTCATGCAAAAATGATACATCACCATAAAAGTAGTCTGTCTTTTGAAATCATACAATAGCTTTTTGTGAGAAAGACTGAAATTCAATTTGTTATTTCCCTCCACAGTATAATTTTCAAATCTCAAAGTGTTTTCAGATGTAATATGAAAACACGTTGCACTAGGTTTCAAATCTTGCAAGTTTGAAATTGTGATGTGGTTGGATGGGAAGATTTTCAGATATTGGGAATGATTTCAGTGAATCACAACTTAAAAGACTTGGAATATACTGCATCCTAATGCATACTTTTGTGGCCTTTTTAGAGCTCAACAGCGTCTATCCTCATTCACTTCCACTGTATGAAAAAGAGCAGTGTAAACGTTCCGCATCATACAAATTCGGAAGGACAAGAGAGTGAGTAAATGATGTCAGAATTGTAATTTTTGGATGAACCATCCCTTTAATCTCATAAATTGTGTGTAATCTGCCCTCATCTGGCCAAGACTGGAATTTCACCATATGTTGCTACAACCTTAAAGGGGTCATATGATGCTTTTTTAAAGATCATTATTTTGTGTATTTGGTGTAACAGAATATGTTGACATGCTTTAATGTTCAAAAAACACATTATTTTTCAAATACTGTACATTATTGTAGGTCCTCTATGCCCCGCCTCTCTCAAACGCTTTGTTTTCTACAAAGCCCCTCCTTCCGACAAGCGCAGTCTGCTCTGATTGGCCAGCTGACCCAGTGCATTGTGATTGGCCGAACACCGCAAGCACTCGTCGGAAATGTAACACCCCTTACCATAATCGCGAGCTTCATCTTTCAAAATAAATGTAAAGACAGAGCCCGATCCAAAGAGAAAGGAAAACTTGAAATCGCATCATATGACCCCTTTAACACATCTTATAAATATGCCACAGTGTTCTTCATAACTTCACACAGTCCTTCATTTACCCTTCATCTATATCACCTGCTGTACTCATTCCTGGTGTTTTTTTTTTCTACAAGTGTTTCCCAGCAAGACCACTTGCTCCTGTCTGATGACCCCTTATATCCACCTATCTGACCATGCTGCACCTCCCCCCTCCTCTCTGCTCCTCCTCCTCCTCCTCCTCCTCCTCATCATCAGTCATCTACCATGTCTCTCCGTGTCCCTCCTGTGCAGCTCTGGCATCCTCTGGTTTAATTAAATGGCCAGACACACACACACACACACACACACACACACACACACACACACACACACACA